AAATCTTTCCTTCAGGTCATTCCAGATCTCATGAGCAGTGGATGCATATATAACACTTGCTGAAATGTCCTTGGAAACTAAGTTGAGGATCCACAACATCACCATGTTATTGTTTTAGATCCACGAATTAATCAAGTCAGGATTCGTATCCTTCGATTTCTTTAATGATCCATCAATGAATGGCAGTTTGTTCTTCACCGAAAGAGCGATCATCATGGCACGACTCCAGGAGGCATAGTTATCTCCTGTAAGTGGCTGAGAAACCAATAACAAACCTAGACTGTCGGAATGATGCAGGAAATACGGACTTGACGATTCATCAATGGCTGATTTGCTCCTGGATGAATGTGATTCAGATGTTTAATCAGATTGTGCTGGCTCCATTGCAAAGAGAAATCACGAACAGGAAGGGGATGAACGAAGGGTGAGCACATGGAGGGTTTGCTCTTAGACCATATTAGAGTATGAGGAAAATTTTGGAATCTTATTTCATGCAAATGTCGTGACTTTACAGGATATAAATAGGCGCCAAAATGTAAAGAAAATACACCTGGTGAAATGGACTAACAACTAACATATAGTTGGCAGCTAACTAACTAATAACTAACTTCTAATAATGATAGAACTTAATTTTTTCAATTATTGCTTCTTTCTAAGAAATTTTTTTTCTATTTAAAATTATTTCAATATAAATTTGTTCGATTAAAATTATTTAATTTTTTTTCAACTAGGGGAAATTACTGTTTTTCTTTGCACAAAATTGAATTGTTCATTTTTGTCATTACTTTATTGAATCATTCCATTTCAAAATTAATATCACAAATAAATCACTTCAAATGATTATTTTTATAGCTAATTGATTTGCTTCTTCTTTAAATACTAAACTCACATTAACATTAAAAACGCTAATATCACGTTCAAAATAATCCTGCCCGTGCAACTAGTGATTGAAAAAGAATGAAATTTTTTTGATTTACGTGTAATATTAATTGATAAAAAATTGTGTGACTGAAAATAAAAAAGAGAAAAAAACGAAAGAGAATGGGGGCAAAAAATGTGTTTTTGGAGAAAAATATATTTTAAAATGATGATTTTTTGAAAACTATGTGATTTAAAAAAAATAATAATACAGGGAGTTTACGTGTAATATTATTTTGTTAAAGAACTAGTGATTAAAAATATGAAAGGAAAAAAAATACATTTTAAATAAAATGGAGTCCAAACATAAGCTAAATTCTAAATTGATCCAACTTTATTTTTTAACCAAACACGAACCTATAATCTCTTGATGAGTTACTAGGAATGTTGCTATAGTGTGCCAAAGTCATGGTCTCCAACTGTTGGAATTGGGTGAGAAACAGGCAAATTTGCACACCAGCTCGACACTTATCAGTTTGGGCTCATAACACTGATTCCCAAATTTAATTTAAGTTAACAATTAATCACATATTTTAAGAAATTCATAATTTTTTTAACTGTACATTTTATCAACTTTTATAAAATTTTGCAAAAATCTGATTTTAATACCCATCAAACGATGGTCAAGACTAGTATCGAAACAAGCAACTTGTAAACCTTCCCATATTTTGGCTAATTTTGTTGACCTCGTTTTTTGTGAGGACAAAGTGGACAACAGATGCCGAATTTACTCGCGTACACGTAAGCAAATTACGACACATGAACACAAGTCTCTGGCTGACAGTACTTCGAATGCGTGGGTGTAGGAGAGACTCAACGTCGTGAGACAAAGTATTTGGACTCCACACAACTGATTCGTGAAACGATAGTATTATGATCACCGATTACAAATAGCTCAATCAAAGCCAAATGATATAAACATGTAGTTAAGTAAATAAATAGTTTGCGAGAAAGAAGAACATGAGCAGTTTTTGTAGTGTAAAGGGTTGCAATAGTCTCCTTTTTGTTACATTGGGGGTATTTGTAGTGTTGCAAGTGAAATGGTGACCACTGGATGAAAGTATGCGTGGCCTCATCTCCTTAATTCAAACATCTAATCATAGGCATCAATTTAGACCTGTTAGCCTGTGGTACACTCAATGCTTACATAGAGTCGCCACTTTTTGTTGACAATACTTAACATTTATACTCATTATTAGCGTCCCATCAATCATTCCTAAAAGATTTCGTACATAGATCCACGTTCTCCCTTACGTAGGTTGGCATCATGTGGATGGGCATCAAACTCTTCCGAGGCTGCATGCTTTAGAACTCTGAACTTAAGCATGGGGGAAAGGATGGGCCTCAAACTACACTTTCTGGCCTCATTGCTCATGAGTAGGGTTTCGTTGAGATGGTTTCAATGCTGTGAGTGGGTCGACTGCTTCGCCAATGAGCATCGACATTTTTGCCACATGGATAAAAGGAGGCAAATAAAAGGGCCTTTGTGGGGCCCTGGTCTCAGTGTCACGTGTGGCGAGGCGTAACAAATTTTTCTAATTTCTTTAAGTATTTGCTTCGCCCATGTTTGGGCTCCATTTTTCATAAAATACATTTTTTTTTATCCGCACATTCTTCAACCCTTGCTTGTATCACTTTAAAAACAAATTCTTTAATTCTATATTCATTTTCAACCATGCATTTAAACAATAAAATATTTTGCACGTAAATTTAAAATTTTTCATAATTTTAGTCTCATATTTTCTAAAAAATCACTATAAAACATCATTTTTCTCAATGATGACCATCAAACGGGAGTAAAATAATATTACACATAAATCCAAAATTTTAATTTATTTCTTAACTACACATTATTCTAAAAATTATTATTTTTAAATACATTTTTCCCCAAAAATTATTTTTTAATGGAGCCCAAACATGGACGAAGCAAATACCCTATGGTAAGAAAGGAAAATGGATCCTATAAAACGTATAAGAAATAATAAGTTCATGTTTAGTGAGAATTAAAATCAAAATTTTAGTATATTCTAATAAATAAAATTTAATAAAATATGTGGTAGAAGAATTATGAATCCCATAAAACATTTACTTACTTTACTTTAATTTAATTAAAATTAAAACTTTAATCTCTATCAAACGAGAACTAAAAGAATTGGATAATTAAAATAATATTTATAAATTATTTATAATTTGTATCCAAAGAGAATTTTAAAATGAAATTATAATTAATTAAGATGTATCCCAAATAAACTAGTCTTCCGTATTGGTCACTGTTTCTTTTTTCTTTTTCTTTTTTTTTTTCTCAAACCAAATTTTTACGATTTATGCTACAGTGATATAATAATTGACATAATACCAACTGGCATTGGACTGTTTTAAATACATTTAGTTTTTTATCCAATCACATTTTGCCAATTAACATTATGTTACTCCATTTGTTAGCCACTTCTTGTCAAAGTGACATAACCCAATTTTTAATAATAAATGGAAGAGATCATTCAGCAAGGGGATTCGTAGAAATGCATTGTAAACGCGAAATAATTAATTATGCATCAGCTAGTTAATAAGTGGATAACACAATTTACAATTGTCAGCTTAACAGAAGTTTTGTACGGTGGGGACTAATTGCAACTAAAAATAAAGGTTTGGGGTGAAATGCCAAGAAAAAGGTTGAAAATAATAGTGCAAAACGATCTATAGGTTGGGAATGGGCGTGCAATTTACCCTTTAAATTTTGAACTATTGATCTAAGGCTTTCTATTGGTTTCCGTGTTATGGTTTACACTTTGGATAAAACTGGACGTCCAGGGGCGTGCCTATTTGGCGCCCCCCTATTGGGGGGTCGTCTGACAGTGACAGGCGACCTCTCAATAGGGGGGCGCCACATAGGGGCCTGGACGTCCAACACGTCTTTACACTTTAATGGTTCTCACACACACACACATACGTACGTATGTATGTATGTATATATTATTCATCTTAACATGACTATCCAATAATGTTGAGATGATGTGTAGTCATGCCAATATGGACAATAAAAGAAATAAAAATATATGTCAACTTGTGGAGGTAGCACTGATTGATGATAAATTAAAAAAGAAAATTTAAACGATAAGGTCATTTTTTGTGTGGATCTAAAGAGGCAACAATTTATAAGAGCAAAACAGTTATTAGTATTGATAAAAGTTGAAAAATGCAATAAAAACAATCTTTCTCGTTTATTATTAGATTCCAAATGCTTGAAGTAGTTTCATTTCAGAAAAAAAAAAAAAAAATGAATTGGTATTCTTTTAAATTGTCAAGTAAACGTCGAACAGGGAGGGGTGGACGCTGTAGATCAAAGTTAGAATGGAATAGTCATCGTGTGTGAACCATTTTTTTGATAAAGCGATAATGTAAAACTTTTGCTTATAATGGATGTTACAAACTTTAAGCTCAGTCATATAAGTTGCCTGATAACATTTCTAATAAGGGATTTGTTTGTTATGATATTTCGGGGAAACCGCTAAAAAAAAAATTGAGGATCCGAAGTAATTGTGTATATCTTTCAATATAATTTTCTTTAAAAATCAATTATATTTTTCACAACATGGCACTTCTAAGCACGTCCTACTTTCTAGCTTTGATTACATCTCTCCAAACATTGAGCATTTTAAGCCATATATTGTCTGTTCAGTAACTACGACCCTCACATATATAATATAAAAAATTATTTAAAGTAAATTTCACTTTAAAGTTTAAAAGAACAAACTCTCTGATCATATAGCAAACACAAAAATCATTTAGATGATCGAGTCCAGAAATACGCATCATAATATATAAGATATTTAGCCCCAGTTTGGTTCAGCCAAAAAGATTAAAATTAAAATTAAAATCAACAATTAATTTTAACAATGTATTTAACTTAAATAAGAGAGTATTGTGTAGCGCTAAACAACACTTATTTATTAACTATTCAAGCAGTTGAAATAGCCAGATTGAAATAAATTATACAAATGATCTTCATAAGCATATGGTAGATATAAAATATCATAGTCAAATATGAATTGTGTGCATAGAAAAAGTTTCATGCATTTATATCTTTATGGTTCATCATATCCTCCATTACCGCCACCACTACCGTGTCCAGATCCATAACCGGAGCCATTGCCGTTGCCACCTCCACCACCACCTCCGCCTCCTCCTCCACCACCACCGCCTCCTCCACCACCCTTTCCACCACCACTCCCGTATCCAGAGCCACTGCCACTTCCATAGCCAGAACCACTACCTGACCCAGTGCCACCTCCTCCTCCACCACCTCCACCTTTGCCGCCACCACCTCCACCACCTCCTCCCTTTCCTCCTCCTCCACCTGAGCCATAGCCAGACCCATATCCAGACCCTGAACCACTACCAGAACCGGATGCTCCTCCTCCGCCACCACCACCACCTCCCCCACCACCACCTCCTCCACCTCTGCCATATCCAGACCCACTCCCAGAGCCATGCCCTGAACCATAACCTGAGCCCGATCCAACAGTCGAACCGCCTCTCCCTTCAACTCCTCCCCCTTTATCACCGGTCTTTCCCAACCTAGCAGCAAAGGCAAGGTCCACAAAGATCATAACCAAGATCAATGCAGCTCCTATCCCCTTAGCCCACCCCATTTTCCAAACTCAAACAAGTACAATGTACACAATTTTCTTAGTATGTAAATACGAGTTACTCATAAAACTCACGTAGAAGAACTTTAATGTAGGATCCCTATTTATAGGTGTAGAAACCTCAAGTTTTCCAAAGTTGCATAATTTCTAGTAGCATCTTTAACGAGATGGCTAGTTAGAAACGAGTTTCCTATTGGGATAATTCGATAGTGGTGTTGGCTAGGAGTGTCGGAAGTGGTGTACTGTCGCTTTGGTTTCATTCATGCAAATCATCTCATTTATCCCACTTTTGACTTGAGGATATAGGGACCAATAATTACACTTACATATGCTGCAGCTCCACTTTACTCCTCTTTCACACTTGAAATCCACCAAGGGTATTAAAATTACCAATGGGACCTTATAGATTTCGAACATGGATGGATTTTTGGAGTTAGTTCGCACATATGTAATCATCCCATTTATTTTTGTCATTATAGCGCGTCTGATTTTAAGAATAAGAGATATGCAAGATGTCACGACTTCGTGCTTATCTAATTACATTCCTTTGACTACACGTACATACTATAGTCTAATCTTCTTTCTTTAGTCTTATTAATGTTGAATTTATTTTAACGTATCAAATTCACGAGTGGTGTGATGATTTTCCAGCTTATTAGCTTTGATTTTGATGGGAGACAACACTTACTCGATAAAAATCCCAAATCGAAAACCACTAGCAAGTCTCCTTCCACTAACTCACCATCCCATCTGCATAGGTTAGTGGGGTTTTGCTTTCTTCGAGGGTACGCATCCTTGGAATGTCAAATGTGGGCTCAACTGCCGCCAAGTTTAATCAGTGGCCATATGCATAACATCATGCTTGCACTTTCTATTCAATCATATCTAATTTCTGGTTCTAGTAATATCATAAGATGGGCCAAAGAAATTAGTACGCATTATTAAGGTTTTTACTTGTTTTCAATCTCCTATTTCTTAAGAAAATAAATTAACTAAAGCTTCAAATACACTCGTAATACCAATAACGATAATATTATGAAATAAAAAATCGAAGTTGATTATTAATGTAAGAGTTTTGTCCATTTTCATTATTGGGTTTTACTCTAACGAAGAAGAGGATAACATGTGTTTTTCATCTCACGTTTGTTCTCTACAAAGAAAACTCGTCTTTATCGCGAAAGTTGATTCATAGTTGAAAATAAAAGTGAACAATACCATTCGGCCCTACATATTTATATTTAACTGGAAAGCTTTGACTAAATCATGAACCATTATTACTAGAGATTTTTTTTTTGTCTAGCGTGGCAAATTTGCTTGACTTCCTTGGTGTACACTCATCTTAGGATGTTTATGTACCTTGAAGTGGACTCCAAGTGTTGTGCACCACATAATCAACTTATCAGGAAACTTTGTGATGAAATAATGAAACATTTTTATCAGAGATTGTTTAATACGAAGTGTGACATATTTAATTGCTTCCTAGGTGTTATACGTTTGCTAGTACAATCATCTTAGGATGTTAATTTATGTACCCCGAAGGTGGACTCATTATTGCGCATAAGTTTCTGAAAAAGTTAATTTGCATGCACTGTATGTATTTGACCTCAAAATCTATTCGATCAAGTGGCCATCAGATCTCAACCACCTCCACGTCCACCTATGTGTCACATGTACACTAAAATACACAATTAGGAGCAAGTGCCACCATCCCAGAAGACAGAGTCCGACAACCATTTGCCCTCGATAATCAAGCAACTGCCAACACGGAAAATAAAATGAGCACAAGATATACAAGTGAAAGATAGTTTGGCTATGATTTAGATAGACGAGGCATGTGGGCATTAAGTCGGGCCATGCCTAAGAAGAAGACTTTTGATTTCGTCGTGCTTAAAATTGTACCCTTGATGGATACTTCAAATTGTAACCTAGATTTAGTCGAGTATATAAAATAATTAAAGAATTATATTATTTATGTAATAATAAAACATAATTACAACATTATAACTACACCACAATTAAAATGTGTTTTTAATATATACACAACAACAAGATTACAATTATAATCACAATCCAATAAAAATTTACAATATTAGTGTACGTCTGTTCCCATTATTATTTCTCATTTTCCCCTCTTTCTCCACGCATTCTTACCTAAACAAATTCCTCTCATGAAGATCCATCTGCAATCACACCCAAAAATCATATATATGAAACTCAGCAATCCTCACAGTCAACATACATTTGCAATGATCTAAAGAGGAGAGGCCGAATTGCAAATACTAATGAAATAAAATACAGATCAAAAGAAATCTATGTAATACAAGATCCCCCAGTTTCTCACTTTTTCTATCACGCTCTTCACTCCACCGAGTACATATAGTTAAAAATGAAACCTTTTGCGCTTGAAAACAACACCAGAGATCAATTATCAACAGAACTAGGAAATGAAAGGAATAACGAAATTAATGAACACAGATCAAACACCCATGAAACCTTCTCTCTACACCAGTCGTAGAGAGAAGGATTAGAGGGACAGGTTAAAGATCGTGATTGTGGTGTCTTCAAAAAATGTTTTATGTTAAAAATTCATATAAACTTGTGGGTAATTAAAATTCTACTTATGGTCATTTAAGTAAATAAAAACGTAATTAAAATTGTGGTGTAACAAGTAAATTTGTCGTGGTAATATAATTACCCAAAAGATAAATATATTATATTTTTAATCTTATATAAATTTCCCTAAATAGACATTAAAATTAAATAAAAATACGTCGTTCTAAATTCATCAATTAATATTTATCTTCATAAAATCTTTTGAACATTTTTATATTTTTTAGAGTTTGTGTTTAACTAAAATTCTAATAATCATAAAATATTATTTTTAACTAAAATCATAAAACCCTAATAATAATAAAAATATCCCCTTCGACTGAAATTTAAAAAAAAAACACTTTATTTTATTTATAATTCTTTCATGTTATGGAAAATGGAAGCTTTTTTTTTTTTATGCTTTGTTTTAAGTATTAGTTTAATATATGAAAGTATACGAGAAATTTTAAAAAAAGTTTTAATACATGTCCAAATATTCTTACATTATAAAAAGAATCAAAGTTAAAATTACCAACCAAAACACAAATGATCAAAATTATTAGCTCATATGCAAAAATAAATAAATAAATAAATTAACATATGATTCAAGGAGGGATTTGTTTGGTCAAGTGAGCAGTATACTCTTGAGAGAATCTAATGAATTCAAGAAAAGAGATCCCTAACCTTTACAACTAAATATTAAAGTACTGACATGACAATATAGAAAAAGAAAAGTAAGAACCATAATAGATGTTGATAGTGAATGGGTGAACATTGTATTTTTAAAATTTTTGAAATTGTATTAGAGATGTATTTAGAGTGAGATGAATATATAAAATTTTTGTTGATTTATAATCTTTAAATGAATGAATTTAATAAGGACAATATTTGAATTTGATGTGGATGAAAATAGTAATTTTTTTTTAAAATTTTAATATTAATATGGTTGTATATAAAAAGGGATGAATATGTAAAAATTATGGATGTAAATGATGGCACCCTTTATGAATTAATTTTTTATTTTCTTCTTTTTCTCTTCTTATTTCTTTGATGAGAGGATAAATTCATCAAGGGTGAAAAAAAAAAAGGTTTTCTTCCACAAGATTTGATTGATCTGAGGATAGTTATTTTCCAAAATCAGGTATGTCGTCAACTTTTAATTTTATTTTGACTTATGGTTGTTGTTGACCCTAAAAAATATTGTCAACAGATGTCAGACCCACCCGCGCACACGTGAGCGAAGGTCCTGTACGCTAAGACACGTGGACGGTCTAAGACGAACGGATCACGGGCATGGGAGTAGCTCAATGACGCGGGACAAGAACGTTCGGAATCCGGCGGGATGTTCTTAATCCGATTGTACAATAATTACCAATCGGTGCTCATGAATGTGCATGTAAATATGTGTGAACTCGTATTGTGTTGTAAGATAATATGAAAGAGAGAGTAAAGTGTGGTTTCTTGTATTGATTCTTGCATTAACCCTTTAATGTTACACAATGGAAGTATTTATAGTGGAACATGTGAAATGACAACCCTTGGATGAGGTGGCACGTGACCTCATCTCTTTAATCCAAACATCCAATCCTAGGCATTATCCTTGACTTGCTAGCTTGCTGCGCATTTATTGCTTATGCAGAACTCTCATACTAATGACAAGACTTGACATGTACACTTATGACAAACGTTACATCAATCATTCTAGCAAGATCTTTATGTAGAAGATCTCTTGGGAGAAATGATCATGGAAGACGTTCCTTCATGGTTCGGAGGGTTCTGCTTCGGCTTCGGATTCAGGGCTTCTGCCACTCACGCAGTACTTCCGCTTTAGGGCTTCAGCTATTTTCACAGGCCTTGGTATATGGGTCTCGACATATGGACTTCAGATAGTTTCATAGGCCTAGGTATATGGGCCTCGGCATGAAGGGTCTCGGACATACATTCCGTCTCGGCTAGAGTGCCACGTGGTTCGGATTGAGTGGGCCATAAGCCGAAGTAGGTTGACCAAGTATGACAACACGTAACAATAGTCCTCCAAGTCCAACTATAGATATTTACATCATGGTTGGAGTTAGAAATGTGTTGTTGTGAGTGAATGATGAAGAAGCCGAGGTGGTGGAATGAACTGAATGTGCGAGGCTTGTGAAAGCTGAAAGATGAAGATGAGCCGAGGTGGTTGGAAAACCGAACCTGGGAGGCTTAATGGCTGAATGTTGTAGATGAAGCCGAGGTGGTTGGGAAACCGAACCTGCGAGGCTTGATGGCTGAATGTTGAAGATGAAGTCGAGGTGGTTGGAAAATTGAACCTGCAAGGCTTGATGGCTGAATGTTGTGGATGAAGCCGAGGTGGTTAGGAAACCGAACTCGCGAAACTTGATGGTTGAATGTTGAAGATGATGTCAAGGTGGTTGGGA